ATTATCGAATTCTAACAAAATAATTAATTATTATATTTATAAAAAATATATTATTAAACCAAATATAAATTCCTTTGTTATTGAACACAAATTGAATTATAATAAAAATTTGAATTAAAAAATTACACAAAAAATGAGAAATTTTAAATAGTTAATTTGATACTAATATCGATATATTTTTATCAAATTTTTATGATATCTTTAAATTTATATTTTATTTAAAAATAAAAATATTGTCGCATTTTCAAAATCATATAAAACCATATTATAACATCGACTGAGATAAAGAATGAAACGAAACATTAAAATCAAGATGGATCTCGCTGCATTGCGCGAGTATCTTCTAGTTAAAGATAAATTGGTTTTTTTCCTTTCATTTGGATAAAAAAGGTAGATTAATTAGTGATAACTTAAACTAATCTCATACGTACGTAACCCGCCTCTAATTTCTTTTTCTTTTTGTTTTCCTTAGGTATATAAACCTCTTCCATGTATCGTCTCTTTCATCAATCAAGAAATCCTAACAAACATCAACCGTTTATTTGATAGCTTTGAAAATCATGATACGGTTTGATTCATTCGATAAATTTCTTCTCTTTTAGCATATTACTAGTGTATTTCGACATTCTCCTATAAATCAATATTTTTTTTAATTAAACCCTATTGATTTTGGCTTTTTTTTGAGGATTTCGAGTTCTATTGTTTTCTGTCTTTTGGGTTATTTGTGTTAGATACTATTTGTGAGTACACCATGGCTAGATGAAATCATAATTTTCTTCCATTTATTAGTGTTCGATGAAGTGGCATGATTAGAGTTTGAAGGATTGTGCTCATTTCCACCCTACATTGCTTGTTTGGTGAGAAAAACAAACGCCTACTCCAATTTCTTATGGCTCTTCGCCATGATTTAAAATGATGGTGTAGAACAATCTTACATCATACTCATTTTTCCATCAATCAATTGTGGTCAATGAATTAATTATTAATCGAGAAGATCCACCTCAAGTCTCATGCAAGTCAATAACGAAATTCTCACTTGCCACTGCAATTATCTTCACGGTCCTGTAGTTGTCACCGACAAGTAACCAAACTAGATCGGTCCCCAAGTATATCAGAACGACTGTGATTTTTGCAAACAAAAGGGTCATTAGAAAGCATGCGTTATCCTTTATTCTCTTACTTTTATTTGACATGCATATCAAACAATGTATTTTTGCATTTTGTAACTAGGTATTCAAATTAACAAGTTATATCCATACATAATACATTCACATGCATCATTGCATGTATAGTTGTGTCCTCAATAGCACATGTTCAAGCACTAAGTACAATAGAAGGAAAAAGGAATTATGATCTTTGAGATGCACTAATTCCCACCACAACCCATACTTTTTGTGTATGTATATATGGGCTTAGGTTAAAAAGAAACTAAGAAATAGAAAATCGGAAACAACCTAATATTTATTTATCTGTATGGTATAAACGTGTCCATATATAATAAAAGTAATTTAAAAGATGGATTTAGTTATAGGGCAAAAAATGTTTCTATAAAATAGATAACATGACATTTTATTTTTAAAATGTTCTAAAATTTGTTAAAACATCTTATAAACCTATTATAACATTTTTAAATAGGACGAATTATTATTTGATCTTATAAAATAATTTATTAACACAATTAATTAAGTATAAAACACATTTTTTGGAGGTCAAAACCAATTTTTTTACCCCAACCTAAAGCATCGATTTGGCAATACGTGTGTAGAAGAAATAGAAAAGAACAAATTAAAAGTGATTTAATAAAAGGGTAACGGTAATCTATATATATTTTAAAGGAGAAACACGGAAATTATAAGATTTTAGTATTTCTTAAACCTTGAAATATGGTTAAATTTGCTTATCTCGTATTGGTGGAAAGAAAGTAGAAGGAATGAAATGTGTATATATATGAAAAGAGTATGTGATTTTCTTATTGCAAATCATGATGTTGACTAACATGAGATAACTTTTTCATTTGCAATTGTCATTATGAGATTTGAGTATTTTTTAAAATCTTGAAAATGTGGTTAAGTTTGCTTAATATAGAAAGATGACATTAAAATATTGAAATGACATCTTGAGAGCGATGTATTTTAAAATCTTGCATTGTGGTTGGTTTTTAAAATTCCACATTGATGAACGGATGATTCATTGATAGAGTATGATAAGTATATATGAAATTAATAAGCATGTGATGCTTTTGAAAACTAAAAGAGCAATATAACTATGTAAACCACTGTTTGACTCTAATTTTGGAGTGATATTTTTTTCTATTATAAAAGAACAACAATCGGAGTTGATGCGTCATTATAAAGTTTAAGTATTCTCAAAGTCTTGAATTATAGTGTTGTTTAGTTTTCCTACATTGGTAATATAGTCTTGTGCTCCAAATATCAAAAGTACCAGGAGGTCTCAGGTTCAAATATAAGGAGGAATAAAAATCCTCTTGTGGCCACGGAGGTTCAAATGCGGTGACTCCGGGCTATCTGCAAAGCAGGTGGTCGTCCTGGGATTAGTCGGCTCGCATAGCGGGTTGGATATCCAAGTTAATCAAAAAAAAATATTTATATAGTCTTGAATTTTTAAAGTCCTTTAATATATATATATATATATATATATATATATGAGAAACCAAATAGAATGACTCGGCAGTCGGCACTATGATATTTGAGTATTCCTCAAATCTTGAATTTTGAAATATGGTTAAATTTGCTTATCCGACATTGGTGGAAAGAAAAAAAGTAGAATGAATGAAATGTGTATATATATGAAAAAAGGAGGTGATTTTTTTGTTGTTGCAAGTCATGATGTTGGCTCACATGAAGAAAAAACCCATTTGTTTGAAGAAGAAGAAGAAAACAATCCCTAAAACGAAAGGGGATCGAGCAGCTACCGATCAATTGCAGACAAGCCATTTGTCGGAAGATGAGGAGTAAACCAAAGAGGAGGAGCAACCATTGATCTTGGACGTAACCCATTTGTTTAAAACAGTAAACAAATCGAGTGAGACAAGAGGAGCAGATTAATAGAGGGAGGATTTAACAGATTTTTGTATAATGCCATTTTTATTTGGATCGAGAGAAGCAAACATATTGGAGGAAAAAGGAGATGGAGATGAGAAAGGGATAGGATGGGGAAGGGGAATAAATTGGTTGAGTCTATATGACTTAACTTTTAGAGCTGACTCATCAATAACTAATGTTTTTAGCCATTAAGTCATTTTTGAACACTTTTATATATCTTTCCAACTGAGCCATAAGCTCTATTTCAATCCATTAAGCTCTTACCGAACAACCCTTTAGAATTTAAGAGAAATATAAAACCTTAACCTAGCTAATTAAAAGTGAATAACTAAAACAGATTATTCTTGTAAACAATCATGAAAACATAGAAAAATAAAGCCATTGATTGACTTTAGAAATCATAAATCATAAATATTATTAATATATTGTTGGTGAATTAAGTTTGTCTTCAAAAATTAAAGTTGATGTAAGACTTGAACTTGAATAATTTTTTCAAAATAGTGTTCAAATTCGAGCTCGAATATTTTTTAGTGATCAAGCTCGACCAATGATCTTTCAACAATTTAAGTTATACCTTATGATAAAATTAAATCTTTATAAGCTTATTTTATGAGTTGGAACTCGAGATGGATTAACTCGTTAATTTATTGATGATAGAGATCGATCATTTTATATTTAAATTGTATAGTTTATGAACATATAAACGTGATCGACTCAAAATAGTAAACTCCGTTGAAACTCGATTTGAATTTGAGAGAATTGTAAACCGTTAACCTAATTAAAAGCGAAGAAATGAAACCTATTATCTTTGTAAACAGTCATGAAAACATGAAAAAATAAGCCGCCGATTGACTTTAAAGAATACTAAATATTGTTAATGAATCGCTCTCTCAGGTTCATTGTACGTTTTCTCAAAAAAGAAAAAAACCTAAACGTAAACAGGTGTCATGCAGAGGGTTGTAATGTAAGTTTAGAATACATGGTGAGGAGCACATGCATGCAGCCACTGCCAGATGTATGAATCTTTAAGTCGGGCCGACTTTCAGATCTCATCCGCCATCCCAACAGCAACTCCATACATATATAATAATGGTTGACTCTTGCAACTGACTAAATACCAGCAATCTTAATTTCCCCCTTGCTTGATTGCCTATATATATACATATCCTCTTCGTATCTATCTCTCCATCATCTCACATCCATTAACAACCAACAAACAAACTCAATTTAACACTTCCATCCCATCCATCAATGGCTGCCCTAACCTTCATCTCTGTGCTAGCTTCATTCATCTTTCTCATCCTCTTCCTTCGAAGAAACAACCGCAGACAACGACCCAACAAGCTGAAACTACCCTCTGGTGAAATGGGTCTCCCTTGGATTGGAGAAACAATCGAGTTTTACAATGCTCAACGTACCAATCAACTGTTTGAGAACTTCTTCCGACCCAGAATCGCCAAGTATGGAAAAGTCTTCAAAACAAGGCTGATGGGATCACCAACAGTGGTGGTACATGGACCTGCAGCGAATAAGTTCTTCATGTCCAATGAGTTTAAATTGGTGGTAAGCTCATGGCCAACTTCATCTGTCGAGTTGATGGGAAAGAACTCCATCATGGAGAAACAAGGAGACTCCCACCGCTGCCTTCGTGGAATCGTCACCTCCACCCTCAGCCATTCCGGCCTTCAGGCTATGGTGCCMAGAATGTGCACCTCCATTCAGMAACACCTGCAGAAAAACTGGCAAAACAAAGAAGAAATCAGTCTATATCGATCCACAAAAATGCTTACTTTCACAATTGTTCTTGAATGCTTGTTTGGAATYGGGATCGAACCAGAGACAATGTTTGGTGTTTTCGAGCGTATCTTGGAAGGTGTTTTATCTCCTCCCGTGAACTTCCCAGGGACTAAATTCTCAAGGGCCAAGAAAGCAAGAGCTGAGATCGAAAAGGTGTTGGTTGGGGAGGTGAGAAGGAAGAGGGAGGCGATGGAAGGTGGGAGAGATGAAGAAGACGGAATGCTACTCTCTAAGTTGGTGGGTGCGTTGATAAGGGGCGAGATTACTGAAGAGGAGGTTGTTGATAACATCGTTTTGTTGGTGTTTGCAGCTCACGATACCACATCTTACGCCATTACAATGACGTTTAAAATGCTAGCAAATCACCCAGATTGTTATTCTCTTCTACTAAAAGGTATTTTTAACAAATAGTACCATTTTAACACAATAGTTTTTTATATGTATGTATATATATACACATCTGAGTGAGATCAATCCCAGTTTTCCTCATGTTTATGAACTTAATGAATTGGCAGAACATGAAAAGATTGGTGGTAAGAAAAGACCAGGTGAAGTTTTGACGTTTGAAGATGTGAAGAAAATGGAGTACACATGGCAAGTAGCTCGTGAAACAATGCGACTATGCCCACCCATCTTCGGCTCCTTCAGGAAAGCGATAACCGACATAGAATTCGAAGGATGTTTTATCCCAAAAGGGTGGAAGGTGGTATGGACAACATACGGAACACATTACGATGAAGAATGTTTTCCAGATCCAATGAGTTTTAATCCAAGTAGATTTGCAGATCCAGTTGCAGCTTACTCATTTATACCATTTGGTGGAGGGCCAAGGCTGTGTGCAGGTTACCAATTGGCAAAGCTGAACATTCTTGTGCTGATCCATTATGTTGTAACACAATATAATTGGTCAGTGGTGTACCCTGATGAGCCAATATTCATGGATCCACTCCCCTTCCCTTCTAAAGGGATGCCAATTAAAATATCACCCAAGTCTCATAATTACTAGCTCTTCCACCTTGTTGTAATTAAACCTTAACTATTAATTATTTTTGTAAAGTTTCTAGGAATTATTTGTAATTTCGTGTATTGAATCTTTTCTAGCAACCTTTCAATGTAACTCTTTTACGATAAATGGCATAGTTCTACTTCTCTATCTCTACGAAACTCCACATTCATATATGATTAATTAAATGTATATATCTCATGAATGTAATCATATATGATATTGAAACTTCTCGAATTCCTACGTATTAATCTTATTACAAACATAACACATAGAATAGATGAAGAAAAGAAGTGGTCAACTTCAATCATAAGACAGGTTGAAGAAGGTCAGAGTTTTTTGCAAAAATGGGTTGGTTTTGAAAAAGGTTTGTAAAAATAGGTTAGTTTTATTTTTGTTGGTAGAAATAGGTTAGTTTGTGTGGGACCCA